TAAAAAATAATAATCAAAATAAAGAAATGCAAGGTGAGAATGTCCCGTCAAACTCGGTTTAAAACTGGGCTTCCGAAAAATGATTGTCAAAATATTTATCAAAATATAAAGAAATAAACTTTTGCACTAAGGAGATTGAGATTTTCGAAGATTTTCTCAAATATTTTATATTCACTGAAGTGATTTCCCTTATTGATATTGCTAAAATTTAGAGAAGAGTGTACAGTTATTAATAATTTTTTGAAACGTTTGTAATTAAATTTTCAAGCTATGAACATGAATTTTCATATGAAGCGTATGAATAACATGGAAGGGCTGAAAAATACAGAAAAAAATTGTTGATTTCCAGTTCAATATTTAAATTCAAGCACTATTTTTTTCGAAAATAGGAGTAAAAAATAGGAAATGTATATTTCAGCGAACAAAAAAGCAGTTGTCCTCTAGTAGCTTCCAGAATGTTGAGATGTATATCAATATGGTATATGTAACGATAGTTATTCTCAATACAAGTTTGACGGGCCATAACAAACTATAAATATATAAAATCCAGCTCCTGGCGAACTCTTGAAAATTTGTTACTTTAAAAGTGAGTTTATAAAATTATAAATATGTATAAGTGTATGTGTGAATTTGAGAAAAAGTTGATGATTTCGTATGTGTAAGTAATCGAACAGTAAATAACGCTTAGTTTAGAAGCGAATGAATTTTAGAAATCGCGTTAATGATTGGCAGTGTTAAAGTTTTTATGCTTTTCCTCGTTTTTTAAATCATTATGTTATTTTTAAGTTTGTAAATAATTTCGATTCCGCCGATTCGTAAATTGAAATTACACAGTTATTAAATATGGAAAGCTATATACGAGTACGCAATTATTTACCGCTAAATATAAACATACTTAATTGTTTTACATTTGTTTATTTCAATTTAATGAATGCAGTACTTACGTATTTAACGTGCATGTATGTGCATACATACATACTTAAGTAAATACTAGATCGGTTGTTAACTTACATATATCGTAAGTCTATCGCCGATTACACTTGAGAGTAAATCTAAAAACGAAAGGTTTTTGTGTAAGGGTAATTTTTCACTTTGCTAACTCTACTTAGCAATTGTACAATTTATGAGTACGTACTTTTATGTCATTTTGTATGTACTTATGCATGAATGTCGAATTGTTGTTGGTTGTGAAATGTGCACATTAATTATAATTTGGTGTTGTGTTTTAGTTAGTTTCGCGTCATTTAAATAGCTTTCAAGAAGCTTTCAACTGACCGTATAACCTTTTTTAAATTGTATTACAAAAAATCAAAAAAAGAATCCTTAACAAAAATTTATAAACAATATACATATGATAAACAATGCAAAATTGTGAAATACATAGTCAACAAATAAGTATTTTAGATATTTATTAAAGAAATTATCCGAGTTGGCAGCACTACTCTTACATACTTTTAAATTCGATACTTGCATACCTTTAGGAGCATCCATAAAGTGCGTCCTTCACATGAATATCAACAAAAATGTCTATATGTATGGCTTAGTGAATATAGAAGAATATCATTTCTACTTGTTTGTTTTGTTCTATTTTTATTATCTGAACCCGTGAAATATGCTTGTTCGCACCTTGGAATACTCCCACACGTGTCCTACGCTGACCAAACAGTATTAATTCTAAAAATATGAATATAAAACCCAAATTTTGAGAGAAAAATTGTAAACCATATTCATGGAAGCTAATTTTGAGCGTATAGCTATTCCCTTACATCTATTTTGAGATTTCCGAGAATCAAATTTCCAAATAATAAACATTTCAAAATATTACTAAACAAGAAAACAGTTTCAAAATAAAATAAACAAGGTTTAGTTTTTGGGCTTTTATCTTTAATTATAAATAACAATTGTTTATTAAAGTTTAAAATGTATGTTTTGTATTTATAGTTCCAATAAACTTCATGTACATATGTATGTATGCATGTACCCAGGTATGTACATACAAGGGGGAAGTTGGGCGTGATTTCATGCAAGTGAGTGAGTGAGTGGCTTACCCTTCTCTATTATTATTTTTTCTATAAATTTACTTTCGCAATCAACTTATTCTCTTCTTGCTGAATTTAGTGTTCTGCTTGTTGTTGCTGCTACTGCTGGCTAAACGTATTTTTATTCATAACTGCTTATACTAATACATACTAAATAGTTCAGCGAAAACTTGTAAAAATATCACTTAAAATTATTTTTTCTTGTAATTGCCAAAAAAATAATAACAATAAATCATTAACATATAGAAATGTGTACAAGTGTTTGAAGGTCATTGATTAGCAGGGGAAGATGTGAAAGTAGATAAATTAATTTACAGCACAATCTTGGCATACATTCGCCAGTGTACATACACATGTTCACAAAAGTGCTAATACAAATCATTGTTTTAGAATGTCAGTATATTTTTCAAGATTGATACTTGTCCGTACTTAGTTTTAATGTTTCTCTTATGAAATATAATCGAAAGAAATGTTAGTTTCTCTAATAAAAACAAAATGTATATATATACAATGGCCACTATCACGAATTTCATTCAAATCACGTTTACGGAGAAAGAGATGGGAAACACTTTGAGATAGTGCGTTGGCATTCTCAAGGTAAGTCCAGTGTGTTTCTCTAAATAAGATCATTGCAAATCACATATGCATGTACAAAGCAGTAAATATGCTATGCATTTGTATACTTCAATTAGTAGAAAATCGTAAAGACCGAATTTTAACAAAATTTTTTAAAAGATTTGAGAAAACTACAAACATGATAATATATGTATGTATACATACAAGTAATTTGAAGTGAATGCAGCTTCATATCATAACAATCCTTAGTAACAATTTTATTGCAGCAAAGCAGCCCTCGGATTTTTACAGTTATTTTAATTGTGTAATTTAGTCGTCAATGAAATTCATAATAGTAGTTTTATACAGGTGCTACTTTCTATCGTGTACATAAATTTAGGTACAAAAATATTAATAATCCAATGAACGCAATGTGTATAATTGAAATAATATATATAATAATTATAAATTTCTTTAAATTTAGATACCTATAGATTACATTAATTTGAACACTTCTTTTAATTTCATGATCTTGCGAGAGTTCTACTTTATCATAATTGGTTTGCGTTATTTATTGAACTGTCTTTTTGAAGAACTTTACGAAAAACGTTTGCACAAAAAGAAATTTACTTTAAGTAGATTATTGAAATTCAAATATTTTTATTTTCTTATTTGGATAAAATAAATGGGATTTTGGTATCACTACCCACAATCATATGCATACGTACAACCATACATACATATATACCATCAATGTCATATCTGCAAATAGCTACTGTTCATCACTCTTTAAAGAATTTGTGTTCTGCCGAAAGAGTGTGAAACAAGTTGTTATATAGTTTAATGGGTGAATTTGTATATAATCTCAACGCTCCATTAGAATTAATTGCAAAACTCACGAAATATTACATAACATTAAAATCGTTATTTAAATAAAGTTACGAATTCAGTATAATCGAAAATAGTCTTGCATCGCGAATAACTAAATTGATTTATTCCGCTTGAGGCCATGGTATAATATGTATGTATGCTATTTATGCAAATGTTCAACATTTGAAAAAAATGTACATATTGTTTTTATAATTGGCCGTAATGAGTGAAAGCTGTGTCAACAGGATTTTAAAATTTAAAAGTGAAAATCTTTTAGAGTTTACGGTAGTAATCGGAGTAAGTTGGTTTTGCCTACGTTTACTTCATTTTCATAAACTTGTGTGTATGTGGGCATAAATATTTTACAGCTAACTTAAAGATAAGTTTTGAGTTGGTTGGTTTCGTTTTTCTTTATTTATTTTGTCTTATTTTAACATTTTGCTATTTAAATGAAGTTAAACATTACCGTTGTTATGATTACGTTTAATGTAATACTTAATTATCTATCTATGTACTTATGCAGCATACACACATACATATATGATAGCTGTTTCGTTTGTCTATTAACATTCTCTGTATATATCTTTATGTATATATGTATATGCGTGTATATGTATAACATAATTAACATATACACGTTTTTTGTTTGTAAATTTAAAAGCAATTACTTTCACATCTATTTAAATTGTTTATTCAACTTCATTGTAACTTTACATATGTATGTACGAGTACGTTGTAGATAATATTTCATTTCCAACTGTGTATACATCTTCTAGGCCTCTAGTTGATGTGTGGATAATTGTAGAGTCGCGCAAGGTTGAAATTCCTAATACTATATATGTACTGTTATATATATGTATTCTATATATGTATATATGTATATCTATACGTATGCATGCATGTTATACACGTTTACATGTATACACATACATACATACATAATTAAAAGTAAAGAAAAATTTTTCTAATTTTATATAATTAATTTAAAGTGTAAAATTGCCGTTGGAGGCTGATCTAAATTATTATCAATCAAATAAGTAAAGACAACAAAATATAAACAATAACAAAAAAGCAAAAAAATATTAGTATAAGTCATTTCTTAAATACATACATACATAATAAAAAAAAAATTAAAATAATATACGATAAAAATTGCAGCAAATGTCAAAAACAATGCCGAAAAATTATTTAGTGTTATGATTATAACGGCTTTGATAACGTCTTCATACTTGTCTTCGCGGCCAGCCATAGATAATGCCGCCTTGTAGTGGGGCTCAGCCCTACTGTTGCTAACTCTTGTGGTGTATGTGGTGTGTGGCGTTGGTGCTTAAGGAAAGTATTGTGATGGCAGCGACGTTCGCATACAAATGTCGAGTTCAGTATTTGAGGCAGCAGTAGTCAGCAAGTGATTCTTATTAGTGCTGTTGCTGTTATTGGCAGTTGTAACAACTTGGATTTGTTGCTGTTGTAGATGTGCATCAGCGTCCGTGTTTGTACCATAGTTATTATGTTTGCTAGTCATCGACGTTTGGTCTATGTTGCTGCCATTGGCAGTGTTCTGGTGGATATTATTGCTAGCAGTGATTTTTCTTAAATTATTTGGTGGCTTCACAATGACGGAGGTAGCCACGGCAGTTGCTGGTGCGGAAGCTGCCAAATATTTGTGTTTGTTGCTGTTATGGCCAATATTATTGTTATTGTAATTGTTGCTTGTTCGCTTGTACTTCGCATAAGTTGGCGTTATCGTGACTGTATTGCCATTGTCAATTGTATGCATTAGTGATTTCGATTTCGGCCCTGCTGCCAGTTCTGTCGTTGTGGTCCTCGTCGAAATTATTTTCGCTGTTGTTACAGCGGTCGTCGTCGTCGTCGTTTCCGCCGCCGCCGCCGACGTTTTGACCCTTTTTCAGTCACCGAATCGGGTACATGCTTTCTTCCACCTACATTGGGTGCACCATAGTTCACGGCGTTCCATACCGTATACTTTGCGACATTTCTTATTCTCGCCTCGTGTGCGTCTATTTGGTGAGTTCGGTGTGTGTTTGGTTGTCGTGGCAACGGTTGTATGTTGTGAATGTTGTTGTTGATGATGATGATGAGATGTATTTTGTTGTTGTGGTGATTGTTGGTGAACTTGTGCTGTGGAGATTGTCACGATAGTTCCAGCTGCGCTGGACTGGGTCGACTGTTGGTGACCATGCATGTGCTGTGTTTGCTGCTGCTGTTGTTGTTGTTGCGGTTGTTGATTTGTATAATTTGGCGTAATAGTTACAGCCGGTAGTTGTTGCTGTGGTTGCGGCTGATTGTGATGAGCACCAGTCTGATGTGCCGTCACCGTAATATTTTGGTGGGACAACTGTTGTAGCATATTGCTGGCACCGCTATTATTGGGTGTGATGGAACTGCTTTGGCTATTGCATGTATTACTGTTGACATTGCCATGGCTGTTACTACTGATGCAACTATTCGGACTGCTGCTATAATTGTGATGGTACGTTGGAGATGGATATGGCGCTGTCGAGTGGGACGGACGTGGCGATGATCGAGCGTGTTTAACAAATTGAGACTGCTGCTGCGGCTGCGGTTGTTGATTCTGATGAAGTTGCTGACTTGAGTTAGATGTAACCGATGTAATGGCGGTTTGTGCTGATTGTACTACCGGTACTGATGACGACTGCCAGTAGTTGTGATGATTTAAAGGTGAAGTTGACAAGCAATTGCTCTGCATTTGCTGATTGGTGTGGCTGTCGTTGGTAGCAAAATAAGTGCCACCATGGAATACCGTCTTACTGTTATTTATATGTTGACCCTGATTTTGTTGCAACTGCTGTTGTTGATTGACACGTCCTTGCCTATGATTAGGAAAGAAATAAACGTCATTGTTTGTTTGCATTGAACGTGTACTGAAGTGTGGTTATGTCGAACGATTAATGTTATGATCTAAATAAAAAAAAAACGTAATTATCGTTAACGTCTAAAGTTAGACAACTCCAAAACAAAAACTCTTATGACATTGTGTAAAATTAACTTAAAGATCAAGAAATGTGTGTCATATTTCTAATTCTGTATTAGTGAATATTATAAAAAAAATTGTAGAGGTAACCTACTTGAAATTGCCCACTATTTTTCTTTGGTATTCTGGGTCTTCGTGTGGTGGTCGAGCCATATCACGGTGGCTTAGAGTGGGTGGCGATGTAGGGCTTGGTGTTTTACAATCATCCTCTTCATCTTCGATTTCTGTATAATAAAACTCTTCCTCATGGTCATTTTCGCTACATGATTCATCATAATCAGCAGAGCGACGTGCTTTTTTGTTACTGCAAGGAAAGTATTTAAAATAAAAATTAACATATAATCATAATAAAACTCGCTTAGTGTAGTTATGTTAATTTTAGAAAATTGTATTGTATAGGTGTAAAAGCAACCCTAAAATCTATTACAAATTCTTATATGCAACTCTGACAAGCACTAGCCATGGGAAAAAGAGATAGCAATATATGCATAGAAAGCAATTTCATTGTATAAAGCAGCTCCGCAGGTATATGCGATATATAAAAGGTGAGGAATGAAATGACGCGATTGCTGCCTGCTGACATTCGTGTAGTTGATCTGTCGCCTAATGGTGTGTAGTGCTGTTGTTAAATTAAAACGCTCACTATTTAAGAACATAGTAAGAAAGAAGTAAACCGGAATTGCAGATTTAGGAATTCAAGCGTATATTTTAATTCTCGAGTAATTTGCAAGGATAAACTTGTGATTTATGTAGAAATATTTGCTTACAATTCTGTTATCTAGTTACCCAAAACGTGTTCGCAACAAAGAAACTTCGGAAGAAGAAGCAGATGGAAAAGCATTAATCGACAGACGGTCGTCAAAGCGGTGAAAATAACAGACAAAGCAAATCAATACAACGTTTACGAAAGAGTCAGGCATCGAAATTTACATAGTGGCGTTTGTTTTACAAAATTATCAAGATTTTTATTAAGAAGAAAACTTCAGTTCCTTTTTATTTAAAGACACTACGCTACATATAAGTAAAAAGTAATTATTTCGACTAGAACCAAGTACGAGTACATGTTCAAGTTTCATTGAGCACTCATCTACCTATCCTTGTATCTGCAGCAGAAAGTTGATTTTGCATATTATTGAAAAGCATACAGAAGTAATCGCTGTGAGCAAAAAAGTCAATTAATATTTGTTAAGAGTACACGGTTTAGATAATTTGAAAGGAAACGAGATATATTGGCATTTACAGAGGAAAAATGTCCACCAATATTAATAACATTGTTACTGAACGAGTTGAACGCAATAATTCCTCCTCATCCCTATGTGCATTAAGTAGTGGCGGACATAGTAAAAACAACAGTGGGGTATTTACAATTCCAAATAATGGCGGCACGATCGGAGGCGGCAATGGAGGTCTTAATGCCAATGGCACTAGCAGTTTTAATGGTGTCGTTATTAGCGAAGTTGTCGACGAAACAAATCTCAAGTTTAGTTGCAAATATAAGACAAGTTGTACTTTGCTGTGCATTTACGACCCACAAGGTGTTCTTTTAAAAATTACACCAGGTAAGCATTATTTTCAAATGGTCTAAGCCGTAGTATAGGCTGAGAATTTGTTTAATGTTATTAAAATAAACTTTTTGAATTTTTAGATAACGACACTTCGAGTGTGCTTAAAGAGTACTTGCTTGCATATGATACCGAATCATCACAAATAGGGCGCCAAACTTATGCTCTTTCTCTAGACAATGATAATTTGCTTCTGAGATTTTCATCCGCATATGGTAAAAAAATATATTCTACGAAAAATGCAATGACATATACATATTTACATTATATTCTTCTGGCCTTTTAGAACAGCAACGGTTTCGAAAGTTAGTCGATAGTGTGAAACACCTCCGACCAAAATCAGTATTTTCACAACGAACTGAAGAGTCTTCCGCTTCACAGTATTTCCAATTTTATGGATATTTGTCGCAGCAACAGAATATGATGCAAGATTATGTTCGCACCAGCACATATCAACGTGCCATTCTAGGAAATTCTATTGATTTTCATGTAAGTTATTTTTATTATATATTTAATTTTATATTTAAATAACTATCGGTTCAACATTATTATAGAATAAAATAGTTTTGGATGTGGGTGCTGGCTCAGGGATTTTATCGTTTTTTGCTGTTCAGGCTGGCGCCGCTAAAGTATATGCCATTGAAGCATCTAATATGGCACAGTACGCACAGCAATTAGTCGATTCTAATAACGTGCAGGATAAAATATTTGTGATGCCTGGTAAAATTGAAGAAATTGAAATACCTGAAATGGTAGACGTAATTATATCAGAACCTATGGGATACATGCTCTACAATGAGCGTATGCTTGAAACATATTTGCATGCTAGAAAATGGTTGAAACCGAACGGAAAAATGTTTCCGACACATGGAGATTTGCATATTGCACCATTTTCAGATGAATCTCTTTACTCAGAGCAGTATAATAAAGCAAATTTTTGGTATCAGTCCGCTTTTCATGGCGTCGATTTGACTACGCTGCATAAAGAAGGTATGAAGGAGTATTTCCGGCAGCCGATTGTCGATACGTTCGACATACGTATTTGTATGGCAAAATCCGTGCGGCATGTTTGTGATTTTCTGCGAGATAACGAGAACGATTTACATAACATAGGTATGTATTTATTTTTTGCGGCGTCTTTAAAATGTTATTTTCAATTATTTTTATGATTTTTCTAGATATACCTCTCCAGTTCCATATATTACAAACCGGCATTTGTCATGGACTTGCTTTTTGGTTTGATGTTGAGTTCTGCGGTTCTAGCCAGCAAGTTTGGCTTTCCACATCGCCCACAGCACCACTAACTCATTGGTACCAAGTGCGCTGTCTTTTACCAATGCCGATATTCATTAAGCAGGGCCAACTTTTGACTGGTCGTGTGCTTCTTGAAGCTAATCGCCGTCAGTCCTATGATGTCACAATTGATTTGCATATTGACGGAACGTTAATATCCTCCAGCAACACATTGGACTTGAAAAATCCTTACTTTAGATACACAGGTGCACCGGTGCAGGCACCCCCTGGCACAAGCACCCAGAGCCCTTCAGAACAATACTGGTCACAACTTGATACACCGCAGGGTACACGTACTGGTAAGTATTTCTTACACTCTCGCTTCTCAAATTTTTATTAGTTTTCATTTCTAAAATTATATTTCAGTAAGTAATTTAGCAAATGGCATAACTGTTAATGGTCTTGCGGAAACTTCTATGGACATCTCTCATACGCTTATGAACCCTCACAATTAAATTAAGCAACATTGAATCGACTAAAAACCCTACGCAATTCTACAATCGATTCGATGCTGGCAAAGTAAGCAGCTAGATTTAATTTTACGCCAAGGTGAACTTACCAATATTTATTTTACTGATTTTTTTTTTCAAACACATAACGCGCGTTTGGATTCGGTTACATATAAATACAAAATTTTTTAGAATGTAGACGATTTGTTTTTAATAATTGTTATTTTGTGATGTATTTAACAGGACGTTTAAGTAAGAAGGGAATTTATTTAAGCTCGAAATGTGTTTTTTTTTTTTTTTTTTTTTTGTAAATTTGTTTAAATGATTATAAAGAAACATATTACACACATATACAAGCTCATATACACATATATTTTAAGTGCAAACTGCTAATACACGGAAATAAAGTATATATATATATATGTCTAGTTATAGGCAGACAATTTGGAGTGAATGGCAATGTAAGCTAAACTTTAAGGAACAATCATGGCAGACTTACAATGTATAGATATTGTGTTTCTTCAGTAGTAGACGTACAGTAAATAAAGCGTATTGAATAATAATTTAAATTATAAACGAGGTAGTTTAAGTGCGACAAACCGTTTAGCGCGTATATATTCTTGTAGCTATGCAATTTTTAATGTTTAATGTTTCTCCAAATAGTAGATCTAGTTGTTGAAAACCTTTGACTTGAGTGCGTTGTAAGAAATTTCTATAATTTTCAACCCTAAATTTGAAACGCGTCGTGAATAAATAAAAAAAAAAAAAAATCTCTTAAAAATGCGTTTCAAGTACTACCGGTTGAAATGTGTTCCCTTCGTATAGTTCAACTTATTTAAATGCCTGAATTTTGCATTAGCCCTAAATGAAAGCCCTTTCGTGCTTGTTTTTGCATTTATCAGTAAACCTCATTGGATATTACCCGTACTCCCTTTTAATGTAGGCGGTAGTACATAGTTCCTAGTTGTAAGCAATGTAAGCATCTATATCTAATAAATACTACTATTAAGACTAGTGCGTTGTTCACCTTTTAGCATTCTATTCTAAGAGTTAGGCAACGCTAAATTTCCACGTTGATATTTGATAATTTACATTGCAATTAAATATAAACTGCACACGCATTCAATTTCGCAAGAATGTATAAGCGATTTCATATCATTTAAACGAAGTAAAATAGGTTAGTTATTTTGCACCCTTCACTCCTTTTTGACTTCAGTAGGAATATCTATTTATTTGCGCTTTTATTACTTTTGCCCAACGTTAGTTTTGTGTGTGTTCTTTATTCTTTATTCTTTACTTTCATTTTAATTTTAATTTAAGAGATTATCTTGTTAAACTTGCAAGAGCAAAAATGTTGAAGAAACACATTTCTTATTTTAACAACCTTTGCTTTATGCTAAGAAAATACATTTTAAAATTTAGTTAGTTTAATTTGTATGCGAGAACTATAGTTATGTGTATTATTGTATAACCAATTAGTATATAAGGTTACTATAAAAGAAGATAATGAAAAAAAGTTCGCTCTGTATTAGTGTGTAGAGTTAAAAATATACATATATACAATTACAAACGCGATACAAGAACAACTATGTGGTGTTTCTTATTTTTGTGAAATATTTTCGGCGGACTTCCCTGAGCGATAATCTATAAAAATCATTTCTAAAATATGCACAGTCAACCTTTAAACGCCGCGATTCATACCCCCCCACGCACCCCACTACAGCGCATTCTTCCTGAAGCAGTGCAGTGGTACGAAACCTTGGCCTCAAAATGCCGCGCTCGTGTGTATGCTAGCGAACAGCATTTGTCACGAATGCTCAGAAATACGAGTGCGTTCGCCCGCCCAACGACCGGGCTAATCACACTACAGTTGCTGCTGAGTGATTTTTTCTACTAGACACACATCCATACAACCGTACTTGCGCATTTATATAAATTTATGCATTTAAGTGTATATGGCCCAGATTTTTTACATTAGCGCCAATGCAACTGAAAGCGGAATCGCACGTTAGAGGACTGCACTGGGTATTGCTGGGGTGCTACAGCTGTGGTTGGTATTGTTAGTTGCATTGGTTGCGGCGCTTTTACCATTTGTGCCATTTAACTTGCACTTTGCTTGGCTCACTGTGTCAAGGTGACAGCGTGAATATTCCCTTGGTTGAAGTTACCAATACAATGAAAAATGCAAATACTTTAACATGTACGAATTTCAAGGATTTATCATGAAAAAATATTTGTTTTCCCTCGCTGCTATTATTTAGAAACGAATTGCGAACTTTAAAAATCACATTTTGGGACATAATTGACGCTGCATTCGAATTACACAACTCTGCGAGCGGTTGTGAAGATTTTTGAAGAAAAACTGATTAAAATTAGTGTAATTTTTTATTCCTAACATTTGTTTAAGCACCACAACGATTATATTAAATGTAATTTTGGAGAAAAGGGTGGTTCTAGAGTAAACGAGTGCTGTTGGATGTTGGATGTTGGAGAATTGCGAGTATACCAGACACATGGAAATGTGTAGAGTTCAGCAAAAAACAGTTTTGGAGGTGTAAATATGTGGTTTTGTGATTAAAAGTGTCCTTAAAGGTACAGTTATAAATCGTACTTACCCTAAATGAACATTACGTATGTGTCGCTCTATCTTTTTCGGTGTCTGTTCTATGTGTTTGCAGCCTTTCCAGGTACATCTGAATTTGGATTTGTTTGTCTGCAAAAAAAGTAGTAGTTGTGATTAATAACAAATTGAAATATATGTATGTATAGCATATATAAATTCTCATTTATTTATTAACAAATAAAAAGGGTTAGAGTTGAAGAGTTGCCTACTTTTAGGCTGGACCGCCTTGTCGATCTATTGTAGTGATCTCGCATACTTTTATTAACGATCCTCAACTCTTCGTTGTTTCAAGGCAAATCACTTGCAACATTCACACTAACGGCTGCAATTTATTGCCACTCGATAAGAGCGTTGCCCGCGCAAAGCTGATATACAATTAGCCAGCAATAAAGGATAACCAAGGCAAGCCTACAACCGGCGACGTGCCGGCTTCAACTGTGAATGTATTAGTGCTGAATGGGAAAACACCGCTAGCCGGAATGATAACACGAGCGCATTGCAAAATCGCGACTTCAAAACGAGTTCATCATATATAAAGCTTGTACATACGCATAAATGTACGTATGTATGTATGCGCGATTGTTGGTAAATGCAAGTGCGATAAATATGGGTGAAGTTGACGAGGCCGCCGGTTACTATAGGCCGTTAGACGATGGCAGCGTAAGTTCGGTTGGTGGTGCATTAATATTCTGATGCATCCTTGTATTGAAGTGCATACACAAAAAAGTGTGGAGGGCAAATTGAGAATGAGAACGAGGCCATTTGTGCCAAGGAGACGCTGCTACTGTGAGATGGCGAGAACCAGCAGATGCATATACCATACATATGTATGTGTATTTTGGTATATAAGTAAGCACATATGTTTGCAAGTAAATGGCATGCCGTTTACTAGGTCAATTGTGTTAAGTGTTATGTCCATGTATGTATATTGTGTTTATATATAGTACATATGTACTAGAGCGGGTTGATTTACAGGGAGCCGAAAAACAGAACAATTTTGTAGAAAAAAATCGACACGCTCTAATGCTAATAATGTATGTACATATATTTATGAAAGTGAAAAGTACTCAAATGATCGCTGATTACGACTGTAATGGTACTTATCATGCACATACAGTAAGATTCTTGAACTAACTTTTAAATTTCCTGGCGTCCTTGATTAAAATAGTTCTAGAAAGTATATAAATAATTCACAAAAATACTTAATTTTTAGGAAATTGTTTCACTGAAAATTTTTGAAGCCAGCATTTATACTTCAACAGTTATTTTGTTGTTTTTGTTTTCCACTAATGACCTGATTTCAGATGGAGGTTGCTTTTATGTACAAGCTGTTATATGTATATTAGTGTATATAAATGCGTTTGGACATACATACGTATGCATTTATGTATGCATTTATGTATGTATATATTTTTATTTATTTTGAAGATTTGTTTTTCATTTTGCTTCTTGCAGGCATCCTTGAAAACTGGTTTAGGCTGAGCTTGTCCGCCAATTAGTGATGTGCTTGAAGGTCTCAACACATTTCAACAGCTGAAATACCCACTCAAAGGGCTATGGGACTCTAGAATTAGAGTAATTGAATTTAATACATTTTTATCACAACAAACATATAAATTTAAAGCCGCAACTTTAATTTTTGGGCATTCAATATTATCCTGGAGTGGAAAAAAAGTTTTTTATTCATAGAAATTATAACTGACTTGAAAAAAGGTAAAAATTCTACATTTAGATATCTCTGTTGAAATATCATGAAAATAATAAATAAAAAATTTTCAAAATCAGATTTTTTTTAAGTAGCAATTAAACATAGACATTATCATGTATTTACGCTAAAATTTTTCATTTAAAGTTTGACTACAAAATTTTTTAGAATCATACAGGGTTGCCATGCTTACATATCCTTAAGAAATGCTTTTCAAACATTATTTATGCCTATTTTCACATATATTGAAGAGTGTATGTTTGTGCTGCTTTTTCGTTAAAGAATCCAATGCACAAAAATATAAAAAATTCGCTTCCGCTAAAGTGAATTCATAAAGCGTAAAAAACGCACACACCCTCATACACATGTATTTCTATGCTCCTCCTCATCTGTATTCTTATATTTCGTGCTCGTTAAATTTATTCCCCAATTTATTTTGATTGCCGCACGGCTTTCAGTAGGAGGCATTACACGTCCACTAGCCCACGCAGTGCGAGGGTCATAACGCCGCCTTGCCACGCTCGAAGGCATTGCATTCTAGGCTAGTGAAAGAATTCTTTTCTTGCGCTTTTCCACTCTCCACTTTGCTTTTGCTTTTGTTTTCACTGCTTTCTGGCTTTCTGTTATTCATGCTTACGACAAAAGCAAATAGAATTGAAAGCATAAATTTGTATGTATAAGAGCCGCTAAATGTTGATTCTTTCCAAGCGCTCGAACAGTACCCAAAAACCCCTTTCAGGTGGAGCACTACGGGATGAAGTATGCGCATTGCCGAAAATATTTAGGTCAAAATATAAATAAGTAAACACTGATAGTCACACGAAAATATGAAGTTATCAGAAATGCTCTCCGCGCAGGGCTGTTTGCCGAAGGCTACATATTTGCATGACTAAAGAATATTATTTGTTTTCTTGTGTATTCTACTAATTTCCCTTTCGATAAGCTACATACCCTTAAGAGTGTATTCATATTGTAGAACATTTCAGTTAAGAGTGCAGCACTGTTAGCTTGAGCTCAAATTAAAATCATTGTGAGAGGAGAGCGCATGCTGACACATTTCTTATGTTTTGGGAGATGCGGAGAGAAATTAGGTCACCGGGTAAAAGTGAAGTTACGAGTGTGTAGATATTTTTTGAAGTTACTACATGTATTCACTTTTGTATGCATGTTTAAGACTTTTTGTAAAATGAAATTTTCGACATTTTCAACGTCAATTTTAATGCAGACATTAATTCTCTAGACATATTAATATTGGCGATTTTGTTTTCGGAAAAATTTACAGTATGCAAACCCTTCATTCTGAGCACTTTGAAGTGCAGACTTTTAGTTTTTTAGAGTTAGCTTTAGTTTGCCTTTGATGCCCTGTTTCAAGTGGTTGAAAATTGGGGCGCGCTCGTGCGTATGAGCAACTTTCCATTTTCACATTCAGCAGAGTTATTGAAATATGTGTGTATATGCAATAAATTATGCTCTCAGCTCTTTGAGAGTCTTTTAAATAGAGACTCTCTTTAGGAGTTTCGGAGTGAACTTCCCGTGAGCCTTATTTTGTAAATGGCATTCAATTGATTTAGCACAAACGTTTATACGGCCTTTAGGTTTTATGCACCGACAAGAAAGCAGGAAAATCGTTGTCATTGCAAAGTTTTAGTAAAACTAATTACGCATTTCGAAAATGTTTCAAAATATGTTATGGCATTTTGGAAAATGTATAGTATATTTGTCATAAGCTTACAAATACCATTCATGCAATTATGTATATCTAAAACTTCCACAATTTGTGGCTTCGCCAGATCTACATAAACGCATATATATGATTATACGTAATTATCTATATATGCATGCATGTTTATAAATATGTGTGTACCAAAGAGTATACAGTCAACGGAGCACCTTTCATGGCCACAAAGCCCGCATAAAAGAGAAAGTAAGCATTTCCTCACACGCTGCTACACAAGCTATGTTTTCTGTATTTATGTATGTGTGTGTGTAAAGTATTTTAGAAAGGGAAAATGACAAGCAGGTGTTGAGTTGTTAAGGACTTTCCACACAGTTCATTTCATTCATGTCAAAATGTCTATTAACTTGATTCCATCATTTGGCGGTAATCGATTTTTGTGCTTTTTGTTTGGTTGCAGCATTTGCTTTAACGTAGTCAAGTGGTAAGTCTGCGGCAGTGATAGTTTGAGGGTTGCAAGAACTCTCTTGCATATATACTTATGCCTTTTAAATCTTCAGAAGTGCTAAATTAATCTTTTTCACGTAAATGAGTTTTTAATGGAAATCAAAATTACAGTTATTGTACACTCAATTTAAGAAGAAGAGAATAAAAGTAAAAAAATGATTTTCTTTTTGAAATCTAATTAAAGTCTATAGATAAATACTGTTATAGAAAATATGATTTCTGTGTACTAGTGCGACATCCTTTTTGAATTACATTTATTTTTATATGTTGTTGAAATCTAATTGGCGGTTAACTGATTACTTTAATATACATTTTTTTTAAAGCCAGGAAAGAAATGAGTAATTAATTTTTTTGAAATTTATTTAAAATACATCTTGAAGTTTAAAAAAATTTAATTGTTAATTTTTTTGGATTGGTTTTTTCTAAGTTCTAAAATTTAAAAAAAACTTAATTGTTAATATTTGGTTTTTTCTAAGTTCTAAAATTTAAAAAAAAAATTAACAATTAAATTTTTTTTAAATTTTAGACCTTAGAAAAAACCAATCTCTATATATGCACTATTCACTGTTCACTCGAAAATCTAATTTTTTTAGATTATTTAATAAAATCACAATTCTCAGAAAATTCTTTAAAAAGTAGTTTTGGAAAAGTGAGGGAACCAAGAATCAACAATTCAAAGAAAATAGCTCTTATATTTTTTATCGGAAAACAAGTAAAAAAATACTTAAATATATTGTTACTTATAACTTATCATAACCATTTCTTATAGTTCCATTATTCAATTAATAGTATTAAAAAACTTCATGCAGATATGCGCTCAGTAGATTTCCGATTTCAGAAGTGATTTATTAAAGAGCTCGCCTTAAAGAAATTGTCTAAAGAAGCGCGATACGATCTGTATGACGCCACAATGAGAATTTCCAATACAACATGCCAAAGAAGCATGAGTTGAGAAAGTGAAATTATTAAGTTGCTCCGCATTTCAAATGTCAGCGAAGTTCGTTAGGAGGAAGAAAGGAAACTTTAAAACTGGAACAAACATGAAAGTGCAATCAAAGCTGCTGACCTACATAGGCGCACACTAAGGATGCAGTCGGTCAGCGGGATGTTGAGAAAACTAAAGAAATTTAACTAAAGGAAAAGGATTCCTACAGAAAATTCAATGCAAATATGTGATGTCATTGCTAAGGCGCAGTAACCTAAAACTTCTGGAGGGGAAATAGGACTGAAGAGGTTATTTATTTTACATTGTCTTGAAAAAAATATATATGTATTTGTTGCCAATGAGTTATAGTAAGATATTATAAATACAGTTATGCCTCTCTAATTGACATAATATTGTTTTAAATTTTGGTGGTGAACAATAAAGGTATTGAAAGCTTAAGAGCTTGTCAAATTATAAATGAAAAGCTTTAAATTTATGCGCGTAAGCACGTTTGTTAAACGTGGATTTGTGTGCGTATTTTCGAAGGACGATTATGCGTTGGCATTGAAATGAAATTTTCGCCATTAGTGTGCGGCTGGCGTGACCGAGTTTCAAAGCTTTTGTGGCAGGTGGTTTGAGAAAAAAACGCAATAATTGCAACAACAAGCATTATGTGCTCTTCAGTATATGCTGGCACTCTACAAGGCTTCGCATAAATTTCCTTGAAATGCTGCAAAAAGCATTCACACATACACATATACGTATATACAATTTTGTATATGCTGTGCTATTATATATATGCTTATATGCCTGCACTTTAAATAGTGTGTGTGCTTGCTGCATGCTACACACACTCACTTTATGCTCAAGGTGAACTATGGCATACGAAAGTGGGTCAGGTCGTGCAAAGGTCCAGCGCGCAGAGGGAAGCGGCACGTTATGCTTGGTTTGTGGAAAAAGTCAAAAGTGTAAAGCTAAACTATCACGGTAAAAACTATTTGTAGGAACTAGCCTTAGCGGTGCTTTCAATTGCCAAACGCATGTCACATTCAAAATGTGTACGCTGTGTGTATGTGTGTGCGCGCGCGCCTAGATTTGGGGGCAGCAGTGGGTGCTATGCAATTACTCACAAATTCGTTTGGCGAATTCGGTCAAGGTAAAGCAAATAAAGGCAAAGTGATGCACACCTTGAAAGTGATCAATGCGTGTGCCGTTATGTGTTGCATGCAAGGATGCTGCGCTTATACAATTTTTTGTGCGGAGAAATTATTGCATTCAACATTTTGCACAATATAGTTTTCAGCATAGGGTAACTACTTTGCCCATAATGTTTGTTTTATGTTATTCTGCTAGGTATACAATTTTTAATGCAACATATTTGTGTATATGCCACTATATATGTTGCATTTAAGTATTTAACCCAATTGCTGAGTTTTTGCTACCCACACACCCACATATACAGACATACAATGTGGCATTTGGCAAGGCCGTGTCACCACTGTGCGTTTGTTGCATGCAACATCGTCGTGACACAGTCCATTTCGCGTCGGGGCGGCGTAAAAAGTAAACCAGGTCAGGCATATTTACAATGCAATTTATTCATTATATACATTGCGGTGTGGTGAGCGAACTTATATATTTGAGTATATAACGTTGCAATTGTACATAGTTAAACTTATATTGTGATACATATACATTTCAATTGTCTCACATAGCTTCTACATATGTACTCGTATGTTTGCTATCATTCAATGCCTCAACCCAGACCTCGAAAAATGCTTTAAAGTGCATCAAGTACTTATGATTTATGTATCTGGGCTTTATATAATATTCATATGCTATTTGTTATACTCACATTGCTTTTGTAGTAGTTTCTGTTTGAAATGTTTACTTGCTCAGTATTATTTTCAAGAATAATATCTATTCTTATATTGAGGAATTCATCTCTATTTCCACTTTATTACAACAAAATTTTTCGTTTTTTATGATTACGCTCTTGTATAGTCCATTTAACAAGTATCCGTATAAGTGCTTAAAAAGCTTGATTTTAAATGAGAAATTGCCAGCATAGTTGTATGCTACTAAAAGTAAACAACTAACAGTTTTTAAAAACTCTGATATGGATGTCAACAGAGATGATTTTTTTGGACAATTGGTAGATCGTATAATATTTTTACGACAAAAAAGGTTTTTTATTACTAATTTTTGGTTGGAAAGCGACTATAGATTGCCTTGCTGGTATATATTAGTGCTATTGGAGCGACTTTGCATCAATTGGGTATGTTTAATAATAATGTTTGCATCCTTCCTATATCAACCTGTGATGTTCAGCCTTTCTTAAAAAAAACACTTTCTTATAAATTCCATTTCCTCATGCCTTTCAGCACGCAATCTTTACCGTTTTAGGTTAACCTTAATTTGTGCAACATGCATCCGCCTTTCTCAACTGTAGCTACAACAAATGGTTATCTGCTCTCATCTTGCTTAACTTTCCTTGCGAATTAGTTATATGTGGTTTTTGTTTAGTATGTTTAGCATTTGCGGGTTATAGCATGAATTCCCTGTGGATATTTTAAGGTCATGTAAAAGTTTGCGCTCTTATCGGTGCCACGTTGTTTTATTTTACTTATAGTGGGTTAAGTTACCGCAAATTTAAGCAAAAAACCTATTGCTATGCTATTGTATGTAACTAACAAGGGCTGAAAAAATAAATTTGTTTTCTAACATACTGAAACGAAGGGATGTACAAGCAATGTTACTTAATTCAAATGATACTTATACGTTTTGTTTCAATAGTGCAATAACCGCCCCCATTCATCCTATCAAGACCACGTTCGCGGAAATACGGTGCGTATGAGTAACTTTTTGCCGTAAAATCATTAAAAATTTGAATGAGAGTACGGAGAGCACCGGCAAGGAAAAAATTCACTTTTAACGGTGACTATATATCTAAGTTGGTCAGATAAATTAATTTGAATATTCTTAGTAAACTTTTGTAGCTTTAAAAAATATTACATTTTGATAAAAATATTGGACTCCTGTAGGGGTAATAAAATATGTAAGTACATATTTCCAACATATATGAATTACAATCAAAATATTTATACGGAAAAAATTTCATATGAATTCAGTGTTGCATTCTAGGGTTAATTTATAACTTAATTCATTTTACTTCGCTAAGATTTACGAATTGACTCCACACCGTACCAAGTAAACCATGAACAAGTATTGTAGACAATTTGCAATTGGACCGGGTGCATAAGAAATCACGAAGACATGAACCGATTAATTCCGTTTTCAGAAAAGAAATTGGAAAAAAGCGCAAAGATTGCAGTGAAGCGTAGGAGTGCGCGTAAGAAACCATTTGTGGGGTGGTGGCAGCTATGTTCGAATAATCTTAGACTTGGAGTGTGCCCAATTACATTTGCGTCGTTTATTCGTGCGAAATCGCGTTTACTCCACGAAATTTCACCAGCCGTACAGTTGTCTGGAGCTGGAAGCATTGGTTGTCGGTGATTTGCCGGTGAATGCCGCCCACCTATATTATTGTGTAAGTGTGTGTGCGCTGTGCCCACACTGCCGCCCAACAAACTGGAATGGGTGCAATGGACCAACATTAATTTCATGTAATTTCCCATTGTAATCGACATTTGAGCGCACGAATTACATTTCAAGTGAAGAGAAAGAGGCGAATTGAACTGAAACGAAGCGCAAAGAGCATTGAATTGAATTGCACAGCAATGAAATGCAATATAATCGGGCCGCAATGGTTAAACCAAACGGAGTTGCAGTTAATGGAGCTGTTGTGTTGGCCAACTCGCTTTGCATTTGCCACCGCGGCCGTAATGTGCCACTAAAATTATTTGCTCCGTTTTTTGGTGTCTTTGCTTTCTTTCATAATATAGCTTAAAACACGCCGTCACTAATTTTCGAAAAACAACAGAAATGGAAAGTCATAATTTAACTGTAAGCCGAATTGGTGGTGCCAACTTGTGTTTCCTTATTTCGGCGCAAAATATTTACTGTCGCGGCAACTCGTGCAGCCAAAAATTGTCTTGCTTGCGCAGGTTTAAGTCAAGTTGTTTAATTTCATGCTGAATTTCGATTACGAATGCTTTGACTTACGTTAAATTGAGATCCTATTTGTTGAACTTCTGTACTGACTTCAAAGGGACTTACCTGAAAATGAAAGAAGTGAGAAAATATGTGAATTGGGACATATACTTGTAAGTATGATACATACATTGTGAGAAATAATGTGGAAAAAAAGTTAAATATAAAAGCTAATAGTACAAAAATTTACTTCGTTCTTGCATTGTTATTAAGGAAGAGGTAGCACTGCGGTACAGCAGTAAAAATAAATGCTCATTTCGATACTTAATAATTTATTTGTAATATAATTTTTACTCAATTTGACTAAATTTTGATAATATAAACCTTTAAAACCCGTTATCAGCAATCCAAGATCAGCGTATTGTGTTATTTAATTCTGCTGACCTAGAATAATTTTGGCTGCCAAATTGCGAATGTTGAGTGAAGGGAAAACAATTGAGATTCTGAGGAATGAACCAGCCATAACTTCAACAATTTCAAAATTGTCGAATGAATTTCTGAGATTTAAATGTTTATAATAAAATACCCACAGACATTGTGAGTGATTTTGGAAACTTTTTATACCAAAAAAAAAAAAAACTACAATTATATTGAATTTATCTCGTATCATGAATTTATCATTCTTCTTTTCAGATGTGAGACTGTGAATTGAGGCCGAACTCGAGTTAGTGAAGTTTACCATTTAAAAAACTAAAACTGAAAACATAATATTGCCAACCTTTTGGTCATATAAATTCGTAGAAGGTTGACAAATATTGTTGCGAGTCTGTCTTATCTGTTTTTATTTACACTGATTTTCCAGAGGTTACTGCTTTCTTAAAAAATAATAATTATTGTTAGTATATTAATTTATTAGTTAACTAATGGTTGTACATTTTCATGTGGGTAAAAAAACAAAATTATAATAATTCCAAAAATGTTGTAATCGAATAAATTTTAATGAAATCGCGGCAATAATTGTGTGTCGTTGCTTTTGTTCTCAATTAAAATCACGCGAATGCTAATTAACCAAATGGCAAATGCAATTTAATACGAGTCAAAGCGTAAACAACCGAATTTTGTCGGGACAAGACAAACAAAGGGGAAGGGGGAAAGCAATTTTAAGTTAATGAAATGCCGTTGCGTGTATGTGCAATTAATCAGAAAATGCGAGAACTGTAAAATGTATTAAATTAAAGGAGAAAGGGTTAATGACATGCGGCCGCTCGTCGGAGACTGATATTGAAAAAAATTAAGACATTTTATTAAATTATAAAAAACATTTGTTTTTTTTTCCAAAAATTTTCCAAAAAAAAAAATCTTTTTTAATATATGAGGCAATGCGTGAAATACATGTTGTATACGTGGGTAATTTATTTTATGGTTTCTTAAACAGAATGATATTCAATGCGAACTGTAGCAGGAGTCTTACTGACGTCACTAACACGAACACGCAAAATAGCGAAGGTGTAAAATTGAAATCACTGCGTAGGCATTTCTTCGTAGGCGTCAAGTTTCACAACAGAGGCGCACTTATGTATGTTTAAATTGAGCAAACAAGTGGTAATTTAAATACGGAGATTACTATGGAAACCTCGGCTAAAAAGAACTTTAGGCACCGAAAAGCTAATAGAAATTATTTCAAATCTCAGCAATGAAACATTTTTCTATAGCCCATATTTCGAAAAATATCCTGTGAGATCGGGAAGGTCGTATCTTGAATAGTTTTTGATTGGCAGCGTTCTAAAGAGCGACCGCTCGGAGCTTCAAACATATTTAAGTGAAACTTTCAACGCGTTTTTCTCGCAACGAGATTTTTCAAAATTGCTGGCGTCATAACTCAACCAGATATTCACCGATCGACTTCAAAAAGGAGATTTTTGAATACATTTACTATACAATGACGCACGATCCTTTTGATTGGTTGAAAATTGTCAATTTGGCAATAAAAAACGACCAAATTTTCTTAAAAAAACTTGTTAATTTTTGATACATTTCAAAGATCGTAGGTCATTGTATGGGAAATATCTTAAAGTTTAATAAAGATTTAAAATTTTTTGGTTTTAGCTACTCATTTGGCCGGAATCATGCCAGCAGTTGGGGCACTTTTTTTGCACCTCCGAAGACAGCCCGTAACTCTGTTATTTTTCAACATTTTTGTAAAAAAAATCTTAAATATAGCTAAAAATATTCGTCATTACGTTCAAAGAAGTTCGAAATATTCAATCGCGAACTTTTTCTTAAAAAATTCACGAAAATCGCCTAATTTTTCATGCGTCACACTGTTATAGCCCTTTAATCATGCTTCCGCGACAGTGTATCAAGCTCATTACTCATGAGCCCAATCAATCGTATGAAGGAAGCATAAGCCTTCTGTTAATCATTTATCAGCGGCATTGACATTGACATCGGTACACGTAATGCCGTTGCCACAATAACACAACAGCCCACGCATGTATGAACCCCCACTAAGTTAGTTGAAAAAATATGTGTTGCTCGCGTCACCCACGCTTTTTTCGCTAAGCGAGCACATGCTAAATGCAACGAAAGTTCGCAACCTAGTAGATACGAATTTTGCGGGCAGAGGCGTAACTCTTACGTAGGCAGTCTGTCGTAAGTATTTCTGCAACGAGCAGTGGGTGCGTTACGTACACTTGGTGGTCATAAAAGGCAAACGCACACCAGTCATAATCGAAACACCTTAATGTATACTATATAGTAATGGTAGCGCCTTAATGTAGGCTACGTACAGTTTAGTAGCGTACAGTCAACGTCCGAAGGAAACGAGGCGCTTAACCTTTTCCTCCGCAGAGACGCAGCAACGACGCGTCACAGACAGAAGTTAACAAATATTTAAATCTAGCATGTAGAGTAGGCAGAATGTGGCAGACGTTGAGACGTTTCATTTGTTTTGCTGTAGCCGTACTCGTTAATAAAGTTTGGCCTAAATATTTTTACACAAGCACACTCGGCGGCATTTAGAAGAGCTTGGTCATCCATAAAGCTTCTGCTGCAGACAAACGAGCTTTAACGTACGGGCCAATAGTCGCAGAAAGCTTCGTACGTAGGCAATTGCGTGCGAAGGTTCGAATTCAAGGACAAACGTCGAAGGATCAATGCGCGTGTGAGCACAGGTGGCAGGCACAGACGAAGTCAATGGAGAATTTTTAGGAATTGTGGCACTTTTAATGGTATACGGCTGTAGTGTCATGCACCTCCAGTGTAGAGTACGGAGTATCGTGTGTGGAGTCCCGACAGCTGTGGCCGAAATGAAAGCGAAAAGCGACGTTTGAGTTGGTGAGTTGCGTAAAATACAAGGTCGTTTTTTGGCCTCGAAAATGTGTCTGGCGCAAAATACTGCTTCATTCACGGGCGTTTGCAACTGCGGCAGGAATGTGTTTGCCACACACAAGCAGACGCTAAATTATGCTTATGAATAAGTAGTTGCTTCGCGAAGAGGGTTTAGGCAATGGAATTGATTTAATGAGGCAATTCATAGCTGACGTTGCCTGCGTGTCTGCCTTGGAGGTGTCAAGACCGCTTTCATGTTCTTTGACATTTGACATGACCTCAAAGGCGACGTCTGTATGCCATTTCTGGTTGCTAGGCTAAATGAGACTGTGTGAATTGGCCGGGAGTACGCCAGAATTTTCGGCATGGTATATAATATATGAGTAATTTTTTTAATATTAAGAAGACAGATAGTTTTAAAGAAACGTTGGAATTCAAGGCGTAACCAAAATTCAATTTATGTGCGCACGAGTATGATTACTCTGCAGACTTTGCACTGTCCACTTTAATTTTCCAATTGAGTTTGCGTAACAATTTGCAAATTTTCCGGTCTCAAAAGTGTATATATTTGTTTTTGTAATTTAAAGGGTAAATGTCCTGCCGGCCGGTGCCTTGACCTTGAAGTTTGGGCAAAAAACGACGTAACGTTTGAAAGTTTAATAATATTTATTGCCGAGATCGTTGGCTGGTGCCTATGTGCTTTGATGAGCACACATACAAACATATACAACACACATACACTCTTGTGAGCTTATAAAAATTTGCCTAACATGGGGTACTACAGTGCGTATACGCAATCTGTATACGACAATTCGCACAATTTCAAAAAAAAAATAAATAAATAAATGCAGCGTATAACGGTGAACGTCTAGACAGTTATTGAAGGTTATCGTGACGAGGCAAATGAACCGAAGGAACATACGAGTGCTGATTTCGTGCGGTGCAACGACCCGCGGCAAGGAATTGCGTTCACGCACACAAAGAGACGATTTTTTCGACAATTTTTTTTTGCTTAGGAATTACACGGGGCTCATAGGCGCATTTGTTTGAAGGGCACAAGTGCGTATAAAATATGAAAAAATAACGTGGACTGAGTTGGAACCAAATTGAGACTGTTAAAGGGCGCTGTAGCGGCTGGATTGAAAAACAGCGCACAACATATTATTTATATGTGTGCAAGAGTGCGGTAATGAGTCTGCAGCAGTGATTGCGCTGCGACTGTCGGCGGTTTTGCATTTAGAACCTAATTATGATTCTTGCGGCTTGTTGAACTCTAACAAATTGGCGGTTGACCCAGCGCACACGGTGTGGAAGCGTTTTAATTAAAAAAACGTTTTTTTTTCGAAGTTGTTATTGTTATTTTAGGAGTTATACGAGTCGAAGTAGGTTGGCGCCACATCTCGGTGTAAGAAGCCGCACGTGCCTTCAAAGCAGCTACGCAGTTGTTTTCCATATCACACACATGCATACAGATATATGTACATGTGCATGTGCTTGTGAGTGCAATTCAATATTACAAAACGCCGACAGAGCTACGGATATGCCTTTGGCATTCTCGTACGTGACTAATGTCAGTTCAGAAGTATTAATATGAAATTAAAAATTACAAAAGGAAAAAGCATAGAGTTTTGTACTCGAAGCCACAAACAGCGAAAATGCATTAACCTGATTTTTCGGTTTCAATTTCGCCGCTTTGTTAATATAAGCGTGCTTTTAGCCTCTGCCATGCAAAATCAGGTTGGCTAAGGGTGACTAAACTGTGGGGCTACCGCATTGCAATGGCCGAACGGTCGGTG